TTCTTCCAAATTTGCCCTTCACTTATGGTGTATTAATTGTCATAACACATCAATTTTATCTCTTAATTTTGTAAACTTGGTTGATGTAGTTTTTTTAATGAAAATTTAAAAGTTGATAATGAGGTCGAAAGACCCTATAATAGTTTTTTTTTTCATTTCTTTGGACAAAAAAACTAAATATTTAAAATGATAAATTATTTACAATACTTGTAAAAATAACTTGAAATATATTACAATCATGAACATAACTTTTTTTATGCCCTAACTTGAAATGGGTTGCAAATATTACAAAAAAACTAAAGTAGGGAAGGCAAGTGAGAATTTTCAAATTTTGGGGTGGCCAAGCGATATTGTTAGAAGCTTCATGGGAGGCTTCTTGACTAATCCCTTGTGACACAAAAATATTGACATAAACTTTACAACTTTCTTCTTTTAATGAACATTTTTTTCTTGATATCTCTTTCTTTCCGAAATATTTACCTTTTTTTAATTGATCAAATATGTGTTGCAGCCCAATAGTTTTTTGAAGGTACAAATTACACCTAATTGTCAAAATTTTGAAACATTCATTGCACACATTACTTTGATACTTATGCAGTTATGCTACTAGTTCTTGTTCAACTTAACAAGTCACTTAATTTCCATTCATATTGTGATAAATCTGGTTTCTTCCATAACGCCCGAATATGTAAAAATGGGCATTGATTTAGTGTCAACCAGTTGTGCAGAGGTGCAATTTATAGTTAAAAAAAATAACCCACAATTAGAAAAGAAATTTGCTATTGGCACTTTTTTCACCCTTTTAGGCTAATTAAAGGAGAGTGACAATAATATCATTCAAAAGAAAAAAAAACTTAAAAAGTTGATTAATTGACTCTTCATTGGATACACAAATTGTTTTCCCTGACAGGATAAGGGAATCACATTGGTTGTTAGATTATCGTGTAATAGCTTATCTCTACAAGCTCTATGCTCAAGGGCACCTATTACTTTGACCAAGACTACTCCTAATGACAATTGTTTTTGGATGTTCTCTCTCATATTTAATCTTCTTGTTAACTAGAGCAAAGCATTTCTGGCTTAAGTTTGTTTGGGTTGCATTTTTATGAAGAGTTTCAAAGGAAAATTATTCTTACATTTTTTTTTAAATGTGATATATATGAGGAAAAAGAGTGATTGAGTTATATGTCAAAAAAATATTCTCAAAAAACTCAAGATTTTCTCCCAAAAATGCAAACCAAACAAGTTATCTCTATTTTTTTTGACAACTCAATAATGACAATAACAAAATAAATAAATCAAACAGAGAAACATGAAATTTACACGGTTCGGTCCAATTGACCTACGTCTATAGGCGAAGTGGTAACAGATTTATTATAATAGAAAGAGAGTACAAAACCTTAGGAAATAATTCCCAGGTCCAAAAGACGCCTAAAACTAAAAACACAAAAGAGACTAAATAGCACTAAATGCTTAATGGTCCAAAGGTTCATGACTTGCTCTTTTGGTTTGATGCCAAACCAAAACTCTTCTTAAACTGGGGCGTGGACCCTCCAAAACTCTCTTGGACTAGTGCATATGTCAATGGGCTGGTACCCTTAGCATAGTTATCTCTATTTTGTTAACAAGGTTGAGAATAGTGTCCTATTTCTTGTATGGACTTAACTTTAAATGAAGTAGAATTATCTCTTTTTAATATACTTTATATTATGAAATACATTTTGGAATTATTTGTTTGGGGGTCAATATAAAGGGAGAAGGGTAATTTTCAAATTTTCTAGAAAAACAAAATACTTCTATTAAGGGGATTTTTAAAAATTTAAGAGGTGCAATTATGAGGAGAAGTCATTGTTTTTTTGCAGTTTTCAAGCCTAATCCATAATAGAAGTTTTGAGAATGACAATTGCTCGCTCTCATTTAAACATTGTTCACCAACACAAAGATATAAAATGTGAATTAAAACCCTTTTTTTGTAGCTTTTACCAAAATCATTTCACCGTTATATTGTGGTTTCATGTCCATCGTTATCATTTCGCAATTAGAATCTTTTGATTCGAATTACACCCTTGCATGTATATCCACGCCTTGGAAGGATGAAATAGAAAGTTCTAAAAAATAAAAGCAAGAAAGAAAATAATTTCCTATCGGGCCTCTCTAATGGATATTCGTTAGGATACCTTTTTTTTTTTTGCCTAATCTGCCATTTAAACACATCTACTCACAAATATTACTTTCTATAAGAAAAAATCGTTCAAAACCTCCCTCATATTTTGTTAAATTATCCTTAATTTTAAACTATTAACTTACGTACCTTACAAATTTAAATTAGCAAAATTTAGTTCCAATCTAAGTTTTCAACCACTTTTAACTTGAAATCATCACGTGACCCACATGTAGTTATTTTTTATGGATAAAATGTCAAGTATCATTTTTTTAGTGAAAAAATAAATATGGATTGAGTTCTATTCCACTTTTTTTTTAAAATAAAATAAATATAATTCGAGTCAGATCCTACTTTTTTAGGACAAAAATAAATATAGATCAGATAATTTGTTTAACAGCAAATAGGATCCAATTGAGCATGCATGAGAGGCTAAGAAACCCTATTGGCCACCCTTAGACAAACACTTTTGTAGCCTTTGACGGATTTGGGATGTTAATTGGTTTGTCTTACTAAGATACACCTGATATCTATTGAGTTTTGTCTTCGTTCTGCTAAATCACCCGGGCCACATATGACTACATTTGCAGACCTCTTAGAACATATTTCATCCTCCAATTACCCTTTCTTTTACTATAGTTTTTTTTTTTCTTGAAATGCTCTTTACATAGAAAGATGATCCAAAATTCACCTTTCTTGTGCAATTTCTTGTATCAAGAGAATACACCATGTGTGAAAAGCACAGGCACAACTGCGAATTTCAAATAAAGCATTTTGCATTTAATGATGATTAGACAATAATGTAACTGAAAATGAACTTAAAGCTGGAGAAAGTTGGTTAATTCCAAATCCAGAATAAAGAAAACAACTCGGACCAAAAAATATTCCTAGAGATATACTGCAAGAAACTTTAAAAAAAAAAAAGAAAAGAAAAGGAAGAACGGGAAGATGAAAAATATGTTTTGAATATATAATCATTCTTATACCGTTAGTGTAGAAATTTTTTGACACTTACACAGTTGGATGGATAAAACGGCATCCAAACATTCTTGTGTAAAAATAAAAATCTTTATATCAAAAAAGTAAAAAAAAAAAAGTATTACTTAAAATTTTACTTTGCAAATGTCTTCAAAGCATTTATCTAATTACTATGCTATTTTTACAGCATTTTTCCAATTGTTTGTCAAAAAAGATTCCCTAAAAAGGGAACCATTTTTGTGGAATAGGTTATTATCACTTTATTCTCTTAATATTTGGTGCCACTATCGATTTCTCCCTTAACTTTACTTTTTAGTCACTTTACTCCCAAAATTAATAGTTAGACTTAACTGAATTTGTTAATTCAAGTGAAAAAGTATATTTAGCCCTTAAAATTATTATCACATTATCACTATAAACTATAGCCTTATTATTAATTTATCTCATAGAGTTATTTTTTAGGTAATTTATCCCACCGTTAAACCACTTTAGCAAGTTAAAATATTTTAGATGAAAATATTCTCTTTTTTTTTTGTATAATAAAACGATAAAAAATTTAGAGTAGGTATTCTCCTTTTTAGTATCAAGGAAAAAAAGTTAAAGCATTAGTCTCTTTCTTTTTGGCAATCTTATTAATATTGAAAAAATAGAAAGAGGGGGGGCTCAATTCTTTTTTTTTTTTAAGTACAAATAAGAAAGAATGCAATATTTGTATGACTTTAAAATTACTTAACTTTTTTGTTTACCACCCAATTCCAATTCTAGTCCCGATGATGTTAAAGTCATACAATAATATTAGATCCTTCTTTTTTTATTTCTTTACAAAATCTAATTTTCTGTTTCTTTCTCTCCTATCTCTTTTTCTTTTTCTAGGATTAATAAATGTGAAAAAAGAAATTTGAGAAAACGCTTTAATTTTTATGTTTTTGGAACTCTTATAGTTAAAAAAATGAAGAATAACCATTCTAACTTTTTTATTTTTAATTATATATAAAAAAGGGTAAATACATTTAAAAATTTTTGAACATACTTGTTAGATTAACGATGGGATAAAATTCCTAGAAAATAATGCTAGGAAGTAAAGCGACTGTATCACTATAATTTAAAGGGATAAAGTGATAATAACAATATAGTAATGCTATAAAATAATAGGGTATTTTGGTTCAAAAGTTGTTAACATGCTGAGTTAAATTACTTATGGCGGTAAAATGATTAAAAAATAACGTTAGAAAGTAAATTGACATAGTAATATAGTTTAAGAGGATAAAATGATAATAATCCTGGTAGAACATGCTCACTTCTCTCTCTTTCCTTTTTTTTTAATAATCATCTCGGTTGTGAGTTGTCACTTTCATTTCAACGAGTAATATTGGCTACTGTGGTCCCCCTCTAAAAAAAAAAGTACCACTACCATTATCCTTTTTTTGGACCATTATCCTTAAATGTAAATAATTAACATAAACCAAAATTCTAGAAAATCAAATCTTACTATATACTAATTCCTAAGATAAAAAGCGATCCCTATGTACCATAGGTAAGTAAATAAACTCTAGAGGAGGGATGGATTGATTGAATCCGAAAAGCGTATAAACTAAAAATTCTGGATTTGAATCTTTTTACTTATTTGAATCCTTATACTTTAAAAAAAAACCCTTACAAACAGTGGCACTTTTGTAAATATGTTTAAAAACTTGTGTCAAACACGTATACACATTTACTGTAGCAAATTTTAAAAAAACACAACAAAAAGTTAACGTTGCAATTCAGGTACGAGACGTAACAGAAACAAAACCAACCTATTCTCAATCTGTTGTAAAGCATTTTTATTATGTCTCAGAATGTAACCAAAAAACCGCTCTTTCACACACTAAAACACCCCACAAAACACACAGAACCCATCACAGAGAAGAAAGAGAAGAGAATACTCCTGTCAGAATATCAGAACACTACATTTATTCCCTTTTCTTTCTCTTTTATCTCTTCCTTTGCTTGCCAACTTTTGATTTTTTTTCTCTTTTATTTTCTTGCTTTTTAGTATAGTATAAATATATCTGCTTTCTTTCTATTTCAACTTTTCTATCTGTTTGCTCATCTGGGGTGCTTTACTTTGTTCTGAATTCTTCTTCCTCTTTCTCTGTTGGCTTCTTCTTCACCTTTTTTACCCTCCTATTATTCCCATAAATATTCCCTGCCTTTTCTTTTCTTTGTTTTTCAGTGGAAGTATTTCTTTGATTCTCAGTGGAGTGTTTGAAGCTCTGGAAAAATGGCTGCAGATATCAGCCACCCTCCCATGGAGCAGCTACAGGACCTTGAATACTGCATAGACTCCAATCCTCCATGGCGTATGTCTATTCTTTCTTTAGTAATTTTTTTGCATAGTATGAGTGAAAAGTGAAAACCCAATGGAAAAAGCGTGATACTGCTGAGTCTCGGGAATCTCAGAAATGTGTACATGTCATTGATGTGTGTGTGATTTTGTAGAAGAACGAAGGATGAATTCCAGTTTTTCTACTTTTAATGATTTGTGGGAATAATTTTTATAGTCAAAGTACTTATAATAATTTCAGGTACTGAAACTGGGTGATTTTGAGTGATAGAATGGTGGGGACAGTAGAATCATGGCATTGGTGGTTTGATGTGTGATAAAATGATTTTTAACTCTTGTGTCACTTCATTTTGCACATCTTTCTTCATTTTTATTTCTTCTTCTTCTTTTTTTTTTGTCCCCGGGGGAGGGCATGTCAGTTATCTGGACTCTTAAAGAGCTTTTGGTTATAGTTTTTGGGCTATATGTGCTATTTTCATCACTTGGGAGTAACGAAACTGGAAGATAAAACGGAACTAACCTGGAGGGCATTCTTAAAGTCTTCATTTGAGAATCTTGTGAAATACTAAGAGGAATGTGAAAGGAAAATGAGGGATCAAGGAAATTATGAAATAAGAGGAGATTAAGGGAATTTCTGGAAATGCATGAAATTTTGTTTACCAATTTTCAATTTATGAATTTTCTTCTATAGATGAATTCTGTGTGATGTGAAAGGGGAGATTATAGTTGTAGTACATCATAAGGTATCCCCTCAGAGAAATCTTCTGTCTTCTCCCACTCACAATGCATGATCTAGCCCCGACAGGCTAGACGATTGAATCTGCATCAATATGCCAAAAATAACAGCGAAAGAGTGAGAAAATTTAGGCTGGAGAATTTACTGGGCTAGGTGATGATTTTGCCTTGAAAGAATTAAAACGGGAGTAATGTGATGGGGTTGTACAGCTGCTTAGTTTGTAATACGGGTCTGGTTATTCATTCACTTAATGGAAGCTACATTGTGCAAATTTTGCATTTTGGAACTCTGCATTGAAGCTAGCAAGCATTCTCCACTTTCAGGCTTGAAGTCATATATATTAAAGCAACTTAGAAACTCTGCCATGTAACTAACTTGGGTAGGACTCTCTAGTTTGGGTACTAGCATCTTACATTTCCAGCTTTCTTTGGTGGAGGAATCTCTACAAAAATTTCATCGCAAGAAAATAAAGTTGTTCATTGTGTTGAACATCCTTTGTTCTAATGGATAATGTTGTATTCTGGAACAATTTTTCAAAATGCCAATTGGATGAATTACTCAACAAATGCTGCTCAAAATAGAAAGCAGAGGAGAATGCTATTAGCATGAATGTTTTTCATCTGGTTTCTGTAGAACTATTGACCAGAAATTTGCAATCTTAAAAACTTTTTTGTTGATTGGTCTGCTTGTGCCAAATTCATAGATGGAACCAAAAAATTTAGTTAGAGGGGTTGAACTTTAACATATCTAAAGTTATGTATAAACCATATAGTATTTTTGAATTTTTGCGGGGGCAAAAATTTGAATTTACAAAGAACCTATTTGAAAATACTTAAATTTCTAAGTGAAAAAAAAACAAAATTTTTAAAAACTTTGGGGGGGGGGGGGGAAGGGGGGAGTGGCCAAATTTAGACTGCAGAAGTGAAAAGTCTCCCAGATTTTTGGTAAAAGAGTAGGATGATAAACACAGTGAGGAAGTTAATCCTATAGTTAAGGCTGCCTACTCAAAGCTTATGGAAAGTAGATATCTACTGCAACTTAATTAATAGCAGGATACCTTAAGATATCCTGGCAAGTAGTCTCAGAAGTACAATACTTGTACCAGGACAGGACATCAAACCATACACTTAGGCATTTCATCATCTTTTCACTCCTAGTGTATGCATTTGGCTATGGTAGTTCCTTGCAAGAGTATCTTTTTGCTTTCCCGTCAGCAGATGGATTAGTAATTTGTAGCACCAGTTTCTTTCTGGTGTTCTTCTGTTTTAATGTTTTGAAGCTCTGAAAAAGCATTTTTACATCATACCAAGAGTATCTTTGATTTCAGATCAGCAGCTGCGTTAGTGTGATACCAGTTTCTTTCCAGTGTTTGTCTTTCTTAATTTTTAAACCTCTTACAAGGAAATTAACTAAGTAGAAAGGATAAAGCATAAGAAAAGTTTTTAACATTGGATTTTCTTTTGCAATCCAATTAACCAGGTGGATTATGAAGAAATTTACTTGCACAAGAACTCTTTTTTTTTTTTTAATTCTTCCTATTATTGATATTCAATTTTCTATTGCAGCTGAAACTATCTTGTTGGCATTTCAAAACTACATATTAGTCATTGGCACAAGTGTAATGATCCCCACAGCCCTTGTTCCCTTGATGGGAGGATCTGATGTAAGCTAATTATCCATATTGTTATTTTTTACTTGCACATTTTAGTTCAAAAGACATGAATGGACTTCATCACTACAGATGATAATAATGTGCCTCTAAGGATTTCTCTTTCTTATTCAAGAAATTGATTAAGAGATTCGACGAGTTACATCATTCTTCACCTTTATCTTTTTTCACCTAAGGACCTGTTGTTCCCCACAAAAACATTTTCATCTTGCTGGTGAAGAAAAGAATGGAAGAAAGAGATATATTGTCATGTACTACACTTCTGCTCTTCACTTTCTGATATGTTTTATGGCAAGCCTTGGACTAACTTCAAGCTCACTTCAAGTACTATTTGAAGCTTCCATTGAGAACTTCCCAAAACATAATGCTGCCTTCTGATTGTTTGCTGTTCAGATAGCCATATCTTTGCATTGCCCTTCTCCCAAAACTATTCTGCAGTGAAGGCCAAATGTCATGCCAAATTGCAAGCTTGAGTGTTGTGACGTGGATGAGCTATATGCGTTCTTTCTTAAATGATGTCTTCTGGTGCTTGTTTTTTTTTGCATAGGGAGATAAAGCACGAGTGATACAAACTTTACTTTTTGTAGCTGGCATTAACACACTTCTCCAAGCACTCTTTGGAACTAGGCTACCTGCTATAGTGGGAGGCTCTTTTGCCTACGTCATCCCAGTAATCTATATCATCAGCGACTCATCTCTGCAGCGAATCGAAGAGCCACATGCAGTAAGCTACCTTTCGTTTTGACTTCAAGCACCTTCCTTGCCTATTTTTAAGACAAGTATTCAGGAATTATAGGGTTAGGTGCTAAAGATTGAACAAACACAGATACCTGTGAATTTGTACTGATTGGCAATATCTGGTCTAGAAAGTCACATAAAGACATGCTAATCAATAGTGTACCATGTTGCTTCTGCTTTAATGTCATTTAAATTGCTGGTTTATCTGCACCTTTGGTATTGTACAGTGTTTGCAGCTACATACTAGAATGTATTTCTCCTAATTTTGGTTGCTAAAAGTTCCTTATGTTTGACTAATTGTAGAGATTTATACAAACTATGCGAGCTATTCAAGGGGCTCTAATTGTTGCTGCTAGCATACAAATAATACTGGGGTATAGTCAAGTTTGGGGACTCTTTTCACGGTAAAAGATTTTGCATCCCTGTTAGTAAAATAACCAAATTTCCATTTTGAACTGGCCATTTATGTCAGGAAATGTCTTTGCAGATTTTTCAGTCCCCTTGGCATGGCACCAGTGGTTGGATTGGTTGGTCTTGGATTATTTCAGCGAGGGTTTCCTGTGGTATGGTGTTCTCTTAAGATGTGCATTATGTCTTAGGATTAAGTGTGTAATGCTTAAGCATGCATAGTATGGCTGTTTACAGAATGCCTGAAAGTTTTCCTAGTACTCAGTAGAGTATGCCTCTGGCTACATGCCCTGGTAAAAAGTGATGTGGCTTGTTTTTTTCTGCTTACATAATATCAGAAACATCTATATATGCAACTTTTGAGGGCATGGTCATAGTCTGCATTTCGATTGGAACTTGTAGCATTTAAGAATATCTATTAAACGAGCAATCACTTAACTCTGTTAAATAAGAGCTTGTACAAATTTAGGTTTTAGTTGTTCTCTCATGTCATCACATTCAGTAGTGAGACTTGACAAACCACCTTGCTCTGCGCAGAATAAGTAAATTTAAGATTAGAGGTGAATATGTATTTAACCCCACAATCAATTCTTGCAGCTTGGGAATTGTGTTGAAATTGGTCTCCCAATGCTATTGCTGGTTATTGGCCTGTCACAAGTAAGTGGTAACTTTGCATTATCAAGGATTGCCCTCTTACATTTTCCTGATCTCTGAAGCTCATGCAAGTAATTGCTTTTCCTAATTGCAGTATCTAAAGCATGTTAAACCCCTGAGAGATTACCCCATTTTCGAAAGGTTTCCTGTGTTGATATGTGTCACAATTATCTGGATATACTCCATCATTCTAACTGCTAGTGGAGCTTATCGAGGCAAACCAGCTAAGACTCAATATAGCTGCCGTACAGACAAAGCAGATCTGATATCTACTGCTCCCTGGTCTGAATTTCAGTAACTCAAAGATATCTCTTTCCCTATCAAATTTTTGTTCCCTTCATATGACTCTTAAGTCATTGAACCATGTTGTGTTATAGGTTCAAGTTCCCATATCCTCTGCAGTGGGGCCCACCTACTTTTGCAGCTGGTCATTCATTTGCTATGATGTCTGCTGTTCTTGTGTCAATGGTTGAGGTATTTAAGGGTTTCTGGAGATTGTCTTCTTTTTTTTAATTAATAATTTTTTCTAGCACGGAAGGGTGGGATTTAAGAAGAGGGGAGGGGGCAGGGAGTTTGCCTTTCACTGTTATCTGTTTAATGTAATGACTCTGTTGAATGCACAGCTATGAACATTAGTGCACCTAGTGATTTGGGACAGATTATAGTGGATTAATTGTAAGTTTGAAATCACTTTGATGCATTGCAATAATTTTAGCAGAATTAATGATCCTTAAGACTATTCGTCCTTCTTTAACTCCATGATGATTTGAAGTCAACATCCATGAACTTTTTCCACTTGTGACCATGGAACTTTCTATCTAAAATGGTACAATATTGATATGGACCCTTAGCCGGTCCACCACTGTAATAAAGAAACAAGTATGAGAAATATATGAAGAGTTGCAGCTTTATCACTGTAGAATTTCAGGAAACGTACGTTTACTTCAGTTAATGTGCAACTGAGGCTTGTTAATGACTTTCATTCACAGAAGCCTATTCAGAAACATTCTATGCAGGAACTGGCACTTTCTCCTGGCTAGCAGTCTCCATAGTAAGATAATAGATTAACCTACTGATTCACCTTGGATACAGTCTTAAACATTTTATCAAGTGGGATACACTAGCGTAGAAGAAACTCAAAGAACTACTTAGCAAACCTAATCTAGTGGCCTTTTTATTTAACTTTGTGAATGATTTTCTTTAACTTAGTGAATATATAAGTTAAGAGTAGAAGTTTTAGACCTGTTACTAAATGATGTAAGTAGCTTTCATGGTTTCCCCGGGTATATGTTGGCTTTGATTTTATGTGCAGTCAACTGGGGCCTATAAGGCAGCATCTCGTCTGGCAATAGCTACTCCACCACCAGCCTATGTACTTAGCCGCGGCATTGGTTGGCAGGTGAGATGATTTTGAATATTACCATACACGGACGACTTTCTTCAGCATCTAAAACACAGCATCACAAGGGAAAAAAAAGTTGGCTAAATGAGGAGTTTTAGTAACTTGTTGATTCTGTATGAAATAGAGATAACATTACCTGAAAATCAAAGGTGCACATTAATCCAACAATCAAGAAGGATTTTATGAAATATTGATTTACTAAGAAGTAGATTTGTCATGATATATATATATATATATATATTCTATTTACTTTTCTTTGAATACACATGTTGTTGCATAAGGAGTGAATCAGAAGTTAGATTGGATTACAGAAATAGTACCACCAGCTTATGATGACCTTTGACCCAATATTTATGACAGGACTTAAACAAATAGATAAATCCTACCCTTGACTAAAAGCTTCCGTCTACCTATATATTTTGGAGTATGAACAAGCTTAAGTACAATTACCTCTTTTTGCGTGTTTGATGTGTGAACATTCCGAGAAGATGTCATTGAGGTTCTGAAAGTTGTTAAGGTTGTTA